AGAACAGAATGTACACAATGCAAGATTAATACTTGTGAGATGTACTGGACTAACATTTACCATTGAGATATATTACAAAGGGAAATGTAGTACAGTACAGTACAGTACATTATAAAATACAATCAGCTATTACTTTAAAGTGCTTTCCCCGCTTGATATTACCTTTAAAAAGGTTGTGAGAATTCACTTTGAACATGAATATTCAAAGACGCAAGCCACATACAAAATGCACCATACTGTGTAGTGAAATGCTTTTGCCTCCTGCTCCATGGATTGTGTTCAAAAGGAAAGATCTAACACAAAAAAAGAAGAAATAAATGACAATTAAATAAAACAACAAAATATATAAGATCATTAACAATAAATATGTTAATGCCTATGCTGATGAAAGAGAAAGCCTGCCATAAGGAGGACAAATCCCCAAAACAGTGCAGTGACAGTATAAAGCATGCAAAGAGGCATGATAGCCAATACCCAAGTGCTCTTTCAGTGTATGGGCAGCCTGAGCCAGGGGTGACAGTGATGGGGGAGGGCACAGATACCCAATCAGATTCAAGGGGCCCAGAACTTTATAGGGGCCTCTCATTATAATAAAAAAAAAAAATCTAATTTATACATTCTGGGAACATAATACATCCACTTTTCAAATTTTACCATGGTGTACTACCTCCCCCCCCAGTCCTTGGCAAATTCTACCACGGGGGGTCTGTATGTCTTCACACTACACTGAGAGTGGCACCTTAGTGGGGGGCCCAAGGAGACATTTTGTGAGGGGGCCCAGAATTTCTAGCTACACCCCTGGCTAGAGTGAACAAACTTGTTCTAATTCTGTCTTGTTGGCCTTCAGCTCCCCCCCCCCAGTAGCCATTATCACAGTATCACCTCCATACAGTAACTGCAGCAGAGAGAAAAGGCCATTGCTGGGGTGGGTTAAATCTTTAATTACTCTCTCCGCTTTGTCACAGCAGCGCCTCCTGTAGGTGTGCTGCAGGTCCTGCAGGTCAGCTTAACACACCAGCCTGAACAGGGCCATGCTGTTCTGCTACAGTAGGTGCAGCTCCAGAACCAGATGTTGATGTTCTCAGTCAGGAAACTTTCCATACTGCAGGTGTAAAATGTCTTGAGTGTAACACTAGAACTGAAAATCATCAGGAATAATTTTGATGAGCCTAGATGGAAAAATCATGCAGTCAGTATAAAATATAAATTCAATTATTTCTTTTTTTCCACCCAATACCAAGGGGTTGACCTGGTTTCAGTTGTGGGTTTAAAACCATCATTATATACTGAGAATAAGCCTGAGAGTAGACATGAGATCTCTGTACTCATTTACTGTATTTACAGCTGTATTGTGTTTGCAGTGAGGGCGTGTCATCATTCACTTGATTGTGTTGAAGAGGAAAATACTTTGCTGTTCTTTGCAGTGGAGTGTAATATAAGACAGTATTTTCTATAGGTGCGATAATTAGCTTCCTGTATGGAGTAAGTAGGGAAAGCTGAGTCCGTCAGTACCAGTGATTTGTGATTATTGCACTGATAAAAGGAAATTTCAAGTGTCACCACTGAATAAATCACACAGAAAACTTCAGGCTCTCAAGCAGCCTCATCCATCCCACCTTTGTAAAGCAGGGCAGTGTGGACCGAGTCACCACCAGGAATGGTTAATGTCACAAGCCAGCTGTAACCAGGACTCTACTTCATTGAAGAAGGCAGAATTAAACCAGGCAGGGCTGCTTGTCTGGCAGAGAGAGCGACGTGTGACCTGGAAGTTAAAGGGGGAATCGACTAGATGAGTCTAGGCAGGTGTGAGTTTATGAGAATATAATGAAAATGATGATTTAAAAAAAAAAAATCAGAAAATTTTGATACAGAGCTAACATAATGTACATGTATCTGTTAACCTTTAGTTTAGCTTTTTTTTAGTTCTATGTTTTCCTAATAAATGTTCCTTATTTTCCTGTAACACTTTATTTCAGATTAAAAACTCACATTGGGAAGTTAATCTTCTGGATTAAGGTCTGGTATAATCCCATGTAAACACATGGTCCTTCACTCTGAAAATGAAATGTAACCCAATAGAATTCGTGGTCTGCATTCTTATCTATATATAAGTATTTCTGCTTTCAAGTGTGCACCTATTTGTGAGTAGTGTCTGAACAATTAAATCATGCTCTCTTTTGGGTGTCTGGTAAGGTATAAAAGAGAGAATAACAGAGATAAAAAAAAAACACCTCGGGAAATATTTAAGAGACCTTTCTATATATTTTTTCAAATCTGCATTTTTAAATCCTGGTTTAATCCTGGTTCTGCTGGCAGAAGATTACACTGCGAGTCAGGCTGCTTCCAGGCTCAAAGTTTCTGAGACAGCAGTACACATGAACAAGGTGAAGCAGGAGATATTGGCAATAACTAAAAACCAGCCAGGTAGAGTGCAGATGCAACTTTCTCTTGCCAGAGATGACCGTCAACTTATTCAGCAGTGCCTCATAAATTGGAGTATGACCTCAAGTGACCTTCAAAAAGAATGGGAAACATTAAGTGTAGCTGTGAATTGCACTGCTAAGAAAATTCATAACAGGATCCTAGAAGAAGGACTGAAGACCCATAAAGCAAGGAAGAAGCCCTTCATTAATGAGAAACAGAGAAGACCCAGGCTGCAGTTTGCGGAAAAAAAAATGTATAAGTCCATACCCATACATTAAGAAATGAGTGAAACTAAAAATTTTGCTGTGGTCTCTTAATTTTTCCAGAACTGTCAGTTTTTTGTTTCTGTAGTGCTGTATTTTTGATAAGCCAGACATTTTTTTTCAAGAATAGATCTGTATTCATCTTGCCAGACAGTTTAGACAGTTTCTGATGTCCATAAATGTACACACAAGCAGAAACAAAAATAAAATGCATTCACATCTGGCACTGAAATCCTGGCACAGTAAAGCAGAACATTAAACTAAATTTGAATGAAGATACTCTTGTAAACAGGTTTTCATACAAACAAGTTTGAAAATAAGTAGCATTAAAGATTTAAAGTAAACTGGGGCAACACAACAGCTAGTGACAGACAGTGCAGCTTAAAGTTACAATGTGAATGTGCTGCTCAAAGTTTGATAGCACAAGCCAGCTGGATTTCCTGCAGACTCAGTCCCTTTATCCACCGCAGTTCTACACTAATATTAAACATCTGCAGCTGCAAAGTCACTGACTCACATCATACGCACGAGGGCAGTGGGTCTTTGCTTAGTCACAATGATGCAAGGAAAGCTCTAGCAAAGTGAAACCAGACGGATCACCAAGTAATGCAACATTTTATGAATTTATAGACGAGGCAAAGAAACAAGGTAATAGCCGTTAAAAGGGTTCTATTAATTGATTAGGTCACCTCTTTTTAAAAAGCTGGGTGTGAATCCTTTGCAACTTTTGGAAATATTACACAGTGACATTCCTCTATACAAAGTCAAACTAAACATTCTCCATCAAACATTCTCCAGTGGCAACACTTTACTTAAAGCAGTCATCGTAATGCATTATAAAACCCTTCAGAATACATTATAATGTTAATAAAGTATTATCAATACAGCTATATTAATCTAACTATAAAACTAAATTTGAGCCACCCTATGTTTTCAAATGGATTTCAAGATATGCTTTCAGGACTTTTGTTCTTTTGTTTCCCCCAGAATTGTTATTTTCCCGATCTTGGTAAGTAGACTTTTGTTTCATTTGACAGAGTTATTTAGCTGAATAATTTCATCAACAGCATTCATCATCAGTGATATCCTTGTTTCCTTGTTTGTTTCCTTGTTATGTTCATTAATAATGATTGTAAGAAATAATGATTGTAACCTGTGCTATACATGAACTTCAGACAATAAGGTTTTATAATGCTCCTTGAGCTGTTGAATTAGTATGCCACATGATAGATTAAACATCTTTGGTCCTTCATTATGGCATGAGCCAGATGAGTTTCCTACATTTAATCTCGCTGCACAGGTTATTACTGTAATTGGTGATGCCTGCTAGAACACTGTAATGTAGTGAACTCTTAATTACACGGCCAGGTAGGTCAAGTCCACCAGCTGTATTTCAATATGACGAATGACATCTTGATTAAGGAGGCACAGCAGCTACCTCTGTCCTATCTCAAGTCTTGTCATAAAAGTTATCATTACGGCTCTCTTCCAAAGACCCTGTAATATATGATGTAATAGATGTCAGAGCGACGATTGCTGGAACTGCAGCCTGTCCACCTCACCAGGCTTTTCTTCTTGCCACCTGCATACAGTATATTTGTATATAATGAGAATCGTTACCAATGCATAATTTGTATAATTAATAGTTTTATTGGAAATAATTTTTATGAACTATGACATCTTTGTTTACAGGCTTTCAGATATGTCAAGGCTTTGTCAAAGCAAGTAACAAAGTTTTTTTGGTCTGATAAATAGATACCTTTGAATGGTTTGCAGTGACGATGTGTCTCTTTCAATATGCATTCAGTTCATATAAAAGCATTTCCTTTTCTCTGTTACAGAAGAGAAAGCTTCACAGTTTTCGCTGCGGCTTTAAGTCTTTCTGAACAAATACACCCGAAAATATATGTAGTAAAGAGGAACCATATGTAACAGGGTATGAAAAATCCATCCGAGCATAGTTGAATGCAACACACTGCCCGCTGTCAAAAAAAGCAGGAAGGATGTTCCTTTTTTCAATTGATTAGCTAGCTAACAAATTTTAAGAAAAATATACGAGACACCTGGTTTCTTTAGTTGTTATGCTGAAAGAGGTAAGGGTTTTACTATAGTATGACAAATAATTTTGCCTGTTTAAAAATGTTTTCTGAGCTATTTTAATACAAGAGAAAAGTAAACGTTAGCTTTATGAGGTAGCGATGGTTTTCTGTCTTGTTCATTTAACTGGATGTGAATAAATTAATCGACATTTTAGGGAGAAAACTTCCTAATGTCGCTTAGATGATACATTACCCGAAACAGATAATTAGAAATACATTATTGCATATATACTGTATATACATGGGTACACATTATGTTTCATATATTTATCGTGCAGCGTTTTCTTACCGTGCCTTTTACTTAGTAGATGGGTGATGAGTGGTTTTTGTCATTATGTCATTCGATCATCTTTTTCCGGCTGAATCATAAAGTACAATCCGAAATTCACAGTCTAGAAATCTATCTGTTAGTAAGGTTCGTGAAACTGAGTTATGGAGTTGTAGAAATTGTTAATGTAGTGTGTTGCTGTAGTGTTTTCTGCATGTGTTTAAAGTTTAGAAAGTTTAAGCCGTGCAGTTGCTATGTGTAGAGCTTAAATGTTGTTTTTGCTCAGTATATCAAAATACACTAGGAATCTGAATTTCACAAGACACTAGATCCATTGATGAATGTGTATTATTTTATTTGCATAGGTAAATAGTCCCCCCCCCCATTTATTTTATGATGCATACACATAATTCAAGCTATGCAGAGCCTGGAGCTGATAGTGACTAAAATATACAGATAGCAGATCCGAAGTCCTACTTGCCTGCAAAGTAACCCTGGGGGATTTTGAAAATGGGACTCTTGAAATCTGTCACCCCAGAATGAGGAATTTGTTAATGCTGTAAGATTAACATATTTTGGTTATTAAGGGTGTACCCCTGCTGCCTGGGATAGGCTCCAGTCCCCCCATCACCCTGCTTAAGATAACCAGATGGATAGATAAATAAATAATGAAAAAATGTTTAGTACAACGATTAGGTAGAAATAGAAAAAGAAATCGTTGCGCTCCCGAACAATGCTGCCAACTAAAGCAACGTATTGAGTCAAGGTTATGGATGAATGTTTTTTTATTTTTGTTGAAGCACATTTATTCTTTGCATTGCAAGGTACATGGCATGTTATCACGGTGTACTACAGAGAAGAACATTTCCACAGCAAAATCTCACTAATGCTTATGATAAGGTAAGACATTTGGGCATTTGTGGTGACAAACATGTCAGTGAAGGCCTGGACAAAAGTTTTTTTCTTCTTTCTCTTTTCTAGTCCCAGAATGGCAACAGGAATGCAAGAGAAACAGTACAGCCCATCGTTGCTTAGTTTTTTCATCTACAACCCTAAATTTGGGCCCCGTGAGGGAGAGGTACAGGTCTATCCACTCCTAAAAGATTTAATAATCAGAAATGCTGCTCTAAGAAAGGCTTACTGCTTAAGATCAGCTTCGCTGCTCCCTACCCCTAAAATTCAATCTGTCTTCTCACACAGCTCTACCACCATTCCTCTGTGATGTCTCTTTCTTTGTAGGAAGAGAAGAAAATCCTCTTTTACCATCCTAGCGAGGTTGAGAAGAACGAGAAAATCCGCAATGTGGGATTATGTGAAGCCATCGTGCAGTTTACCAGGTATGGATGGCGGACCGGTAACCTCATTAACGTTGGTGCGGCCCGTACTGGATATCTCGTTTGTTATGGTGACAGAAGCTCTTGTTTTCATGGGGTCAAACCACTGCACTGTGCAGCTCACATGACCATCCCTATGACCATCCCCATAGACCCCCGAGGCAACTTCTGTCTTTGCGCTCCTCAACCTGCCCTTCCATGACACATGCCTCTTCCACTGAGAGATGCAGATGGTTGGTACGGCCAGTAGCGTGTTCATGCTGCAGCCTGCTTGTTGTATTATGGACCACGCTAGAAGAGCCTCCCTACACTTCATTGACAGACAGTCTTATGTGGCTCTTCAGGTTTTTTATGAGAACATGGAAAATACCTTATTGGTCAAAATGCATGGAGATGCCAGTAATCTCCGTCAATATGCGTGGATTGCCTGAAGGACAAAAGGACATATTCTATATACACTGCCTGGCCAAAAAAAAGTCACCGGAAAAACAATGCATTAACGAATGTGCACCACAATCAAAGTTAAATGCAGCCTAACAAAATACTAAACTCTGTGATTATTTTTTTGGCCAGGTACTATTCATTATTAGTAGTGTGACATTCAGATATGTCATTGATGCATTCCCAAAAGCTCAGAACTTGAAAATTTCCAACCAGTGTTATATAGTGGCTGAATAGAATGGATTAGTAATGTAAGTTCATGAAAGCTAATGCTAATTCCTCTAGCATTTGATGCTATCTTGACACTGTGATTCTCACAGATGTGCTAGAAGAAATCAGCACATAGTAAATCATGATTTCTCATCTGTCGTACGTTACTGTCGCTCTCCAAACCCAGCAACGTCTTTACTGAACTGTACTTTCTGCAGTGGAAAACCGAAGTGACCTGGAACCGTGCTATAACTAGTGTCTCTTTGCGGCACAGGTTGGGTATGGCCTGGTCTGTATGCCAGTGGAAAAGCACCACAAGAAGCACTTAACTTCCCAACCAAAAGGGCTGTGTGGGATTCATAATTTCTATTAATAGCGATGTATACACTAAATCCTTCCATGTGGTTATGGAGCAGGGAGGTTAATGTGGTATTTTTAGTAAAAGGCATTAAAAATGCCTTCAACCTCACCTTCGAAATAGTACCCAGTCCTGACACACATGCGCGAGCATGTCACAGCCTGTTCACATTCTCCGGTGTCTCTAGTGGCCGTCATGCGGCACAACAGCTGACCAGCGTGTGTTTTGTTTTTTTTTTGTTTAATGAACTAAAAAAATATATATGTGTGTGTGTATATGTGTATATATATATAACTTACACAATAATACTACTGATCCCCACAGAGTAAAGTTGACTTTTCAGTTTTAAAATACTTATTTAAAAACACAATAATAAAATAAGATAATTATTTACATCTATATTCACTTCATCTCCTTTGTCCTCTGTCAGGGGTTGCTAGGTTGCACTTTTGAGGAGTTATTTCACAGTTTGTATAGTAACGGCTAATTGGTGGTGGAGGGACTAAATTCAGCATCACTGATGTCATTACCTGGGACGGCAAACCCCGTCGGCACCTTCAGTCAGTTCCCTGTAATGTGTCACGTGAGTTTCTGGTAATAAAGTCTCAGTGAGCGTAACGTGCTTGTATTTCCTCGACTCTCCCATCTTACAGAACCTTCTGTCCCTCGAAACCAGCCAAATCCCTTCACACGCAGAAGAACAGGCAGTTCTTCTTTGAACCCGAAGAGAATTTCTGGATTGTGATGGTACTTTCTGCAGTCCTCCTGAATTCTGCTGCACTCACACATGTCAGGGCTTTGAATGCTAGTTGGAATCTTGTGCCAGCAATATAATCATATCGCTTTTGGGTGAGAAAGCTGCACTCAGACCCCAAACTTTGTTCTCACTTGTATATGTGTTTTCTGTGTCCCTTATATGACAGCAAGATGGAATGTGTGAAAATCAAAGTGTTCCTTTGTACCTGTACAAATGGCAAATTGAAGTATCTTGCATATATTTTCCAACTCAATATTTCAAGTTATTGTTTATTTTGGTTTCTACTGCAGGATCCAAAAGAAACCTCTTTGAGTAAAAATGCTGTCTAGGCCTAAGTACAAATTAGTACAGAGAATGAAGTGTACTGGGATATACCCCATTTGCCTCTTTAAGACCTTGTACACATTAAAAGCTGAGAATACTTTAGTTTGCAGTTCCCTTTTTTACGCATGAAAAATCATCCCCCTTACACCTGTATTTCCTGAGCAGATAGGAATGGAAGAAGTGCGCGCTAATGACATGGATGTGTCAAACGTAACGCAGGTGGTGCGAAACCCGATGGTAGAGAAGGCAAACAAGGAGGGGAGACCAGCAGCGACGGAGTATCAGGAAGAGGAGCTCTTGGTAAGCGCTCCGGCCTTTTCACTAATCTGAGAAAAGCTGCTGATTTTCATTGATCAGGTTGCCAAAAAAATGCTTTGTCTTATTTCTAAGTTTATATGGCTTTTGTTTGTGAGTGAGTAGCACCGTTAGGGGCAGGTCAGTTGTTTCTGGGTCCCCACTAAAGTCAATAAGGCCCCCCCCCCCCGGAGTGTAGTGACAGTTTGTGACCAACAGAGACCCCCACACATATACATGGTTTGAGTGGTGGTATCATACTGTGGTATCTTACTATGGTATCATACCTCCAGGGTTATGAGTAAGGATGCTGCCCATAGCTTTGTTTGTGTGGAGGGTCCTTGTTCTTCCTTCCATGTGAGCAGCTTTCCTCTGGCTGCTACTCTTTCCTCCCATCGTCCTGCAAAATGCAGTGTGCTGAGCTGGTGTCCCTCCATCCCATGCAAGGGTGTCCCCTGCCTTTGTGCTGCTCTCCCTTGGACAGGCTCCAGGCTCCCCAGATGATAGATGGATTAAGTTTTATCCGGCTGCAGGGCTTTATCTTTAAGGCATGTTTACTTCCTTGCCTCCCCAGCTGCTGGGGTTCTGCGCTCAGTCCCATTGTTGGCTGATGGCCGGAGAGCTTAGAAGATGCTGATATTGTGACTAAAACTTTCGCTTAACTGATGCGCTAAGCAGCCATGAGGGTAGAACCTTTGAATTCTAAAGCAGGTCTTGGCAGATATTGGCAAAAAAATAATGTGTTCTACTGACCTGTTTTGGGGTGATTTTTGTCGCTTTTTTCCTTCCAGGATAATGTTTACGGCGCAGTACTGCAGCAGTGCTACAGTATGTACAAGGTGAGGCTCACTTCATGCTGGCTTAACATGCGCCACCTTCCTGGTTTCTGGAGGCTCCAGGCTTCTGGAGGTGTCTTCTGCATGAGTTCCTCTCCACCTCTCTGTGCATGTTTGGTCCTGGCTGGTAGGAAGGGCCTGTAGGGAGACTCGGGGTTAAGTGTTGTATGCTCCAGTCTCAGACATAAAGATTAAGGGATCTGACTTCAGCCCTGCAATCGCTCGTTTTTAAATGAATGCTTCAAGCCATGGGAATGTGTGAGCTGGAGCTGTCCAGCAGAAAACCATTGGCTCTTTATGGGAGAACTTGTAGCAAATGGGTAATAATTTCATCTGCGCTCATCACTGAGCTTGTCTTTCCCTGTTGCGTACTGAAGTCCAAACAGGCCTGGTATCTGGGCATGGTGGTTCTGGTGACATAGCTGTAAGCGAGTGTGACTGCCGCCCCCCCCCCCCCCCCCTGACGCTGCCTGCTCTCTCCCCAGCTCTTTAATGGCACCTTTGGCAGGGCGATGGAGGCCGGAGCAGTGGAGCTCCTCACGCAGAAACTGGAGAAGTTCTTCTACAGGGTAACCACCTCGTTTTTGAAGCCCTCTGTCTAGATTTTACGCCGGATCTCGAGAGCCGGCCTGAATTCAGGTGTTAAACTTCTTGGTCTCGGCGGCTGGGGGAATGACAGGTTATTCCTGTAGCTATATCGAGTGGACTGACCCGTTTAGAGCACAGAAAGCATGACAAATGAGAGGAGGACCTTCAGTAGCAGACAGTGTCTCTCGCCGTCCACGTTGGGGGTTCCTGCTTCCATATCGCTATCAGAAATCATCCTCGCACCTGCTGCCACAACAGAGATCCTTCTTGTACAGAATCGAGGGCACGATCCTGCGGGCAACCGTGCTCTTTCTGTCGTAAACCCGGCAGACCCGTGCCTCGTACTGGGTGACCACAGCACACACCTGTAATTTCTTCCCCGACTCGCGTTTCGCTTGGAAAGCTGTGTCAAGTGTGTCAGCATTAATCATTCGCAGTCAGGGAGGCTTTCCTGCACTCCTAAAATTTCTGCTTGGTGTACTTACCTGTCTGAATAATTAATTTCTAATTAAGGGGAAACCCCTAAAAGGAAGTTCTGCCCGGACGTGTCACCTTACCTGCCTCCACGTTACGTCCTGCTATGACTTTATGGTCAAGGGCTCTTAGGGGGCGGAAGTGCATGGGACTGTTTGGGAAACCCGTGCCCCAAGATCGCTCGCTATAGCATTGTTTTAAGTCGGTAATAAGCATTTTTGTCTCTCTCCTGTCACTCGTGCCTATTGCTGACCCTTTCCTGTTTGTCTCCAGTATCTCCAAACCCTACACCTTCAGTCTTGTGACCTCCTGGATGTCTTTGGCGGGATCAGTTTCTTCCCCTTAGACAAGATGACCTACTTGAAGATACAGTCCTTTGTGAACAGGGTGGAGGAGAGCTTGAGCCTGATCAAGTATACGACATTCCTCTACAACGACCAGCTCATCTGGTAGGGTTGGCGTAAAGCCCACTCTTTCGCTGGCAATCCGCCTGTGTTTGCTTAAAGCTTTGGGCGGGGTTGGCGAGCAGAGGGCGCTGACCCGGGACTCAGTCGCATCTAACATAGTTGTCAGGGCGACCCCAGCCAGTAAAAGTGCTTCCCTTAAGCAGGGCCCAGTGGTCATTAACGGGGTCACCTAACTTTTGACCCATGTCGCTGTTCTACATTGACCCACTGCACCTCTAATTATTCCGTAGCTCGAGGAAGTGAGTCTGCCGGTACTTCTTTGGCTGGCTGTCCTGTTTGTTTATAAGAGGCATGCTTGACTTCCTCCAGCTGCTCACTGGTTTGCGTAAAACACTCACTGGCACCGGTGGGTGCTAATTTGGCCATGCGGTATGTGTAGGTTTCTCGCTATACAGATGCAGCCTGGGAGGGCGTAGGTGGGGGGGGGGGTTTGAGGGGACGACAATAGAATTCACCCGTGTTCCTTTCTAAGCATAAACGGGATGGTTTCTGGGTAGATTCAAAAGAAGTACTAAATTGAGGGAAATTGAGGGATGCTGTGTCCAATCTGAAGGGCAGTTTAATTGCATTGGTTTTTATATAGCGCCTTTCGCAACACAGTTGCCCCCAGGCACTTGAAGACTGTACACCTCATTACTGTTATAATTATGCTGCGGAATCACACTGTCATGTTATTCCATTGTTCAGCGCAATGTTTTCATCACAAGTGAACGAAGTAGCTTATTTTTACTTTCACAGCTTTTACATAATCCAGCTTAGTACTTCTTGAGATGCTGCCACTGCACTGCTCGTGCTGCAGTAGGTTTCCCATTCCTCAGGAGCCGGTATGCGGCATCCCCCTGTATCCATCTATACCCACGATGCGTAAAAATGGAATGGGGGGGGGGGGTAGCTGACAGGCACGCGCTCCGCTGCGGACGGGTCCCATGGCTGCGGGGATGCCCTCACGCTCACCTTGAGTAATGACTCATATTTCTGATGAATTTCTGCCGAGCGCCGCATAATATATGGAGCCGAAAAAGGCAACGCAAGGAACATGTGAGTAAGCAGTAACCGATGCCCCTGAGGCGGAGCGTGTCAGCAGCCCGGCCTGCCCCTCCCCGCCAGGGTGGCTGGCTGTCGTGGCGTCTGCACATGCTCACGCCGTCAGACATGGCGGGATGAAACTGAAGGCTGCTCTCCCTGCGTCGTCCCCCAGGAGCAGCCTGGAGCAAGATGACATGCGGATCCTGTACAAGTATCTGACCACCTCGCTGTTCCCCAGACACTCCGAGCCGGAGGTGAGGCTCGGCCGCAGCTGCTCAGCTGGGACCTCAGTCCTGCGTCAGAGGCACAGTGTCCCCGGGGGGGGTGTTCACTGCCCTTCAGGAAATTCAGCAGAGCATAGCGGGGCCCTTCTCTGCGATGCAGTAACGTCAGTGGACTGAGCTGCCTTTTCCGGGCCTAACACAGCGCAGGTCTCATTTTCGACATGATGGTCTCTTTTTGCCCGTCATATTTCCATTTTACATATTCAGCAGACGCTTTTATTCAAAGTGACGTACAAGGGAGGCAAATGGCACATTACAAACATAAGTGCAGCTTGGCTGAGCTTACGGTGAATGCCCAGGTACAAGTGTAAGTAGTAATGGAGCAGGAATACATGACTTAGAGCAAAGCAAGACCCTAATAAGACTATTAACGGACCAAAAGTACAATAGAAGAACATTTAGGGAACGTAAAGAGGCACCAGGCTAATAGAGGAATTCCTTGAACTTGATTTTGAGGCGTTCCTGATGACCGGCTGTGGTTCAGCAGCTCGTTCCATTATTTCTGTGTTGAACAGGGACATGTACAGAGAGTCCTTGTTTGGATAATGTTTCTCTGTGAGTGTGAGGGAGGTTAGGAGGCCCCGGCAGGTCAGGGGGCGGCGTGCTCGCTAACCCGCCTGCTCTCTGTCATGCCGTGAGGCAGCTTGCAGGCAGGGACTCGCCGCTCAGACCAGAGGTGGCTGGGAACCTGCTGCACTATGGGAGGTGAGTTCACAAGCGCATACGAGCCCAAGGGACCTCGGGTGGGGGGTAAGAATCATGGTAAGTCAGGGGTTTTGGAGGAGTAAATGAATCAAGGACAGTTTGGCACCAAAAATACCTGTTGGACTTGTGGTAGATTTTTTGATCATGTGCTCTGCGTGACGGCATTTGCTCCAGGCTGGCTGGCTGTAATGAGCTTTATGGATTATTCACAAAAATGAAAGGGATTTTCCTGCACCTACACCCCCTCGCCCCCCACACTCACACCCACGTGACCACTGTGACCTGGCACAATCTCTAGGGAACCTGGCCTGACCCAAATCCCAGGTGTGCCGGTCAGACCCTTGGTCAGAACCCTGGGTGTCTGACCATACTGCTGACGCACACAAAAGCAGTACCCATGAGGGCTGGGAGGGAACTGCACGTACTGTCCTGAATGAACCCTGGAAGCATAAAACGCAACGGGGAAGATCATCTGGACCAAGGTCGAGCAGGCAAGGCAAACAGAGACTGAGATTACGTGGACGGCGCTCCCACGTAGACGCCAGCGCGTGAGGCTACACGGGCTTCATTTGGTCACGCCACAAGATTCAGCGGTGATCCCTGTGACCTGCTAAGCCACTTCCTCCTCCGACTGTGTGGCCTAAGGTGGGGTCTCCATAAAGAGACACCCAAGATCTCCACGCCAACGTCATTTCGTAAAATCACGTCGGCATCATTTTTAAAGACTGTAATTGCACGAATCCTTTGGCTTTTCTTCCCCCTGACACACCGCTCCTCTAAGTCTTTCTCATCATCCCAAATTGCTGGTTCCTTTCTGCTTACGGACAGTCAGCCCAGACCACTAACCGGGTCAAGGTGATGGACACGGGAGTTTAGCCAAGAGTTGGGATGAAAGATGATTCAGCCGTTTTACTCACAAAGCTTAAATTACATTCAGCCATCAGTCACCTTGGCCCTGTAACTACCTGATCTTGTAAAGCTAAACACAATGTTGAAAAGGGTCACTCCAGTCCTACAGAACACTTCAGTTATGAATCTAATACCATGTCAACCAGTTGGGTTTCTCTATTTTAGATGTAAAATGTGGATTGTGATATAAATAGTTTGATTGGGCCTGCATTGGAGACTGTAGCATCAGTCTTTCAAAGACTCATAAAATCTGTAACGTAAAGTGTTTACGCTGTAGGTAATGAAAGCGAGAAAAAAAATTCAGTGCTTCAATAAAAGCCTTTTGACACTTTGCTGTCTTGAGCTATCACTGAACAGACTCCATACGTCATTATTTTATTTATTACCTATTATTTTTACACACACAAAATGGATAATTTATCGTAATTGGGAGGAAAATCTGACCACAAATGTAACCTGACTTTTCAGCAGAATTTTTTTATTTCCATTCAGCAATGGCAAAAAAACACACATTGTGATGCAGTTTTTTAGATTGGACCCAGTTTTTTTTATCCACACAGGATCCGCTGGGAAATAGTTGATTTTTCTTTCAGTACTGTTAGCAGTTAAGTTGCTGTGAACAGTTTACTTTATTTCCTTATATGTGAAGTATATGGAGGAAGAACAAGTAGAGCATTTTCTCTGCACTTTCAGTTTAGCATGTTAGCTACAAGATTGGTTAAGTGATTTTACAGTGATTTTTAAGCCCGTCAAAAGCTTTCTCCTCTTTTGAAAGATTTCTTACAGGACCCACAAATCTGAAAGACCCTGATGCGAAATTCAGATTTCCCAGAATATTTGTGAACAGCAGCGACGGCTACGAGGAGCTTCACTTGATTGTTTATAAGGTAGAATCTCCATTATATCCTCAAAGTGAATGTGGAAATGTCCTCAGAATTCCTCAAACAAGCTCTCGTCACTTTGTAAATTATCGGTGCACAGATGTCTCTAACAGATGAAAATGTTGACTTAAATTGTAACGGTGACATGAAATGAGTTGGAGATTTTTGTTACATCTAATTCAGAAAAATTTCACTGGAATATTTGAAGTACGATTTTGTGCCATGTCTTCTGTAAATCGGGGAAATGGGGAGACCCAGTGCACCATAATTTGTCTCCATAGGTGATTCTTTAGTTCAAGGGTTTTGGCTCCTGTGTCCATCTTCAGTCTGGCAACAGTTCAACTTATTTTTGGTCACATTATTTTACTGTAGTTCTTTTGACGAATGACTTCATTGTAGTTTTATAGAATAACAGCTTGACTGGTTTCACCTGTTCATCTGAAGAATGTTACCTGAATTTCTGTGTGTGTAATCATCTTACTTTCCAGTATTAATTGGATTGAGATATTTTGAAGATCTCTTGCCCCATGCTGCTGTCTGACAGTCAGTCGTGTTCCTTCCTGTTCCGCAGGCCATGAGTGCTGCTGTCTGTTTCATGATCAGCGGTGAGTATTGAAGCCTCTCGGAGACTCCAGCTGTGGCAGAGCTGTCTGTCCCTGCACGGCCTGCCTGCCTGCCCACACATGCACCACACCGGCCAGGCCGGCTATCCGCAATGAAGGCCTGCATTGAAGGACTCCCCCATTGTCCTGCAGCTTCTGAAGAACTAGGCCGAGAGTTCTGCGAGCAGCTGGATGGCCTGGTGGGACCCCAGCTCACACTACTGGCGTCAGACATATGCGAGCAGTACAACATCAACCGCCGGATATCAGGGTCAGATTATGGGATGTCTCAGAACGCCATGAACGCTGTCTGCTGAACGACTTCAGATTTCTTTAATTAATCTGTTTTTCAATATATAATTATTTCTTTTTACCCCAGTTCAACGTTTTTTCGTCTCTAAACAGGTCTGCAGCTAATATCACCAGTAGCATGAATGTAGTATGAGAGATGTGTCTTAATCTGAAGTCAGAAGGACAGAACCTGCCCCAGCGCACAGTGGAGCTTTTCTTAGTAGCCAGCCATGATGAAATTCTGCCCATTACCCCTAATCATGATGAAGAAAAAGATGGCTAGTTAAACACTGTCCAATTTTGCTTTATGGCTCTGAGCCAAACTGCAGGTACCTGCAGCAGATCAGATGAATACACACACACACACACACACACACACACACAGTCCCCCTGCCTGTTACTGGTGCCTTTCTTACTGTTTAGAGCAGCAGCTCTTACACATCTCACACACACACACACAGTCCATCTGCCTGTTACTGGTCTTTCTCACTGTTTAGAGCAGCAGCTCCTCTTACACACACACACTGTCTCTCTGCCTGTCACTGGTCTTTCTCACTGTTTAGAGCAGCAGCTCCTCTTACACACACACACTGTCTCTCTGCCTGTCACTGGTCTTTCTTACTGTTTAGAGCAGCAGCTCCTCACACATCACACACACACACAGTCCATCTGCCTGTCACTGGTCTTTCTTACTGTTTAGAGCAGCA